GACATGGGGGAGAAAAAAGGAAAGAGAGGGATGGGGTTTCGCTCGCTTTTGGAAAAGTGGGCCCCCATCTAACTCGAATACTGTACTAGTAGATAAAGGCATTTTGATCTATAATAGCCAATAGGGTTCTGCGTTGTGCAGTATGGAATTGTGAAAAGTATTCTTGCCCTTGGCTAGAAAATTTTGTGCTTATCAGAATCATTGTGTTGCATCTCCAACAGAATAGTTAACCGTAAATAGAATGTGTAATTTTTCATCCACGCAGCAGGACTAGTTAAAGGAAAGAAAAGGTTCCTCCCCGTGCCTTTTTGGGTTTTGGGAAAGGTACTAAATGTCGCATATTTGATTCTGCATCCTCAGTTTCTACGAGGTGCTCATAAAATATTTATCTGAAGTCTGTTCTGCTCTATGATCAATAGGTCCAGTATGGACGTTAGATATTTTTTTGAGAAGTTAAACTAGTCTTATTAGGATAAGAAGACTTGACAGTTGATGTGAGCATTGATTGAGTCCTGTAAAAAAATGTAGATGGTTGTATATGAAGTCCAATCATGGAATCATGGACTTGAACCTTGAGTTAAGATCACAATACTGGAAGGTTTGACAGGTATATGGAGTTCACTTCCTTAGAATGAACCAACAATTATGGAATTTATTGGCTAGTTAGCGGTTTCTCTGTGACAAATACTGAGAAGGATGGTGCAGTTGAAAGGTTCTGGGAGTGCAAAGGTAATTATTAACAGATTATGGATATACAACTGATATTGAATGTCTCTGGTATCTTTGTTCACTTAGATTGAACAAGAACATAGAAGAAGTAAAAACACAAAGAGATGTTGAAAACAAATATAAGAGAATTTAGTAACCTCGAAATTGTTGGTGTAGCCTCAAAGGGGAAGCTACATAGAGCAGTTAAAAAAATGCAATGAAGGTGAAGTTACACACGAGTAGTTAAAAAGATGCAGCGAAGACTTGATAAGAAAACCTGTGGAATTGGCTCATGCTTCTTCACTCTGGACTGGCATAGACAAACCATTCAGATTTATAATGATTGCTGCTAAATTTTTACAAGTTACTGTTACCTCAAAAAAAAAACTACAACTAGTAGTTATTGAGCTTTGCCAGGTGCCAACTGCAATCAACTGTCTAATAATTAATTTTCTTGCGAGAGGGAAGTCTTATGAATATAAGAAGCATTGATCATAATGTTTATAAATCTACCACTATTTACCTAAAATATAAACCATGTATTCTACTTTTATGGAAAAGGTATGCCAGGAAATCTTATATGCAGTAATGCTTTTTTGTTTCCTCTATGATAAGAAAAGTTTACTATTGTTGGTGTTACAACTTCATATTATGATTATATAACCTAGAACACTATGATTGGCAATTGCGCAAACTCATCTAATACTCCTCTCTGATAACTAATACTCTAAAAGGATTTTCTTTAAATGATTATAATATGGTATATTAGAAGTATTTGACTTTGTTAGTCGGAACAGTGTTTGGCCTCAGGAAATTCATCAAAGTTCAGATATAATTAACTTATGATATATTAAGTAATAAAGAGCTGACGTGAACAGCCGGTATACATGTGCAAATGAAATCCTAGCACCGTATAGAATTTACCTAAAGAATTGTTGTACATATCTGGCACTCACGTGGTGCATATCAATGAAAGCTCATTTTACTTATAAATATGGATTTAGGTTATATACATGTGCCGTGTATGAACTTTTTTTACACTATCAGTGTAGGTTAATATTTAGTAATAGGTTAGTTACCATTTTTACTAAGTTACTTAATAGTTATCATAGCAATTTACCTGTAATTACCTTGTAAACGACCTGGTGGTGTAACAAGTTTTTACACCATCAGTTCGTAGAACTTAAACTCATTAATAAGCACTAAATATAGGAATGTCAAGGATGTGATGATTGAGGAGAAATGAGTTTTGGAGAAGGGAAGAAATTGGAGGGAGAAGTACCTAGTGGCCAATTCTATCACCTGTCCTCGTCTTGGGGCACAAATCAATCAATTCGTTTAAGCTTTCCCCTTTAAATTCTGCAGGTCTTTTACAATCTTATCTGATGGAGATGCATATCTTATTCAAACGCATGTTTATAATGTTTAGATACCAATACTAAAGTAAAATTTAACGTGTTCTATAATGTCTTATCTGATGAAGAAGTTGCATATCTTATTCAAATGCTTGTTCAAACCATGCGGAGGTGTTTAAACATGTGTTTTGACCAACTAGAGGTGTTTGGTTGGGACAACTCTAACTTTGGTGGCCAGCTTTGCAAAACCGTGCAAGTACAGGTGTCAATTTGTGTATTAATTGTAAAATATAACCCCCCGAAACTTACTGAAATTACCTAAATCTGACTGGAAGCTTAAAAGGAATGAGGGTCATGCATAATTTGATGACGACAAAACACTTGAACATGTGCTAGTAGTTTGTCCAGGCTATGTGAGGCAGGAACGAATTCATATCATTAGCTTTGTTAAATTTAGTCATTTACCTTGAAGGTAGTAACGACATAACCTTCATGGCATGATGCAGAGTGAATGCTAGTTTGATCTTTATTGTAAACATCTTGATTTTTAGATGGGCATGGGCTCTTGCTTAATGCATGAAAATAGGGTTATTTTATTACTTGAAAGTTCCTTCTAAGGTAGTTGTTTATAGTTACATTTTTTTGCATTACATTTCTATTCTTTGTTTTTCTTCCTTGGTGCTTTTTTTCAGTTAAAACAACAACAACAACAACAAACAACAACAACCCAGTATAATCCCACTAGTGGGGTCTGGGGAGGACAGTGTTTACGCAAACCTTACCCCTATCTTGAGGTAGAGAGGCTGTTTCCGATAGACCCTCGGCTCACTCCCTTCAAGAACTTCCCACCTTGCTCTTGGGGTGACTCGAACTCACAACCTCTTGGTTGGAAGTGGAGGGTGCTCACCACTAGAGCAACCCACTCTTTTCCGCTAAAACCTACAATTTAATTGCGCTTTGCACTTAAAGCTCCAACAGACTTTGGCGCTTTTTGCTTTGACTTCTCTATTAATGCTTTTACCTGAAACTTAAATTTGTTCAATCTACTCTGCAGTTCACAGGAAGCAGCTTATGGTGTTGAGGGCTGGAGAGACCAGGGGAGTCGGGTTAACTCAGACAAATTAAGTGGAAGTGGCTATAGCAAGTGGTTGGTCCTAAAGGATCAGCTTCAAATTGGAGACACTGTGAGATCCAGGAAGCCACCAAACTCATGTAAACCTGAAAACATGGAGGTACCAGGGGGTACCATTGTTGGCATGGAACGAGATACAGAACGAAATGGATTTGTGCTGGTGAGGGTGCATGGCATCCATGATCCTCTTAGAGTTCATGGATCGACATTGGAGCGGGTGACATTTGGCTTGGCTGCAGGAGATTGGGTACGTTTGAAGACGAACGGTAAGAAACATTCATCGGTAGGCATCCTTCACTCCATTGATCGTGATGGAAGTATAGCTGTTGCATTCATAGGTTTGGAGATCTTTTGGAAGGGCAACTGCTCTGAGCTTCAGATGGCAGAAGCTTACTGTGCTGGACAGTTTGTAAGGCTGAAGGGTGATATTTTCTGTCCGCGCTTTGAATGGCCCCGAAAGAGAGGTGGTGACTGGGCAACAGGTAGAATTTGTCATGTGCTACCTAATGGGTGTCTTGTTGTGAACTTTCCTGGTATGCTGGTGTTTGGTGATGAAAATAGCAGCTTTTTGGCTGATCCAGCAGAAGTCGAAATCGTTTCTTTTGACACTTGCCCTGGTATTGTGAAGAAGTATCAACACCTTGAGGACTTCCACTGGGCTGTTAGACCACTGTTGGTTGCATTAGGCCTATTTACTGCAATGAAGCTTGGCCTTTTTGTCGGGAAGAAAGTCAGGAGATCAAAGGTGAAGAAGGGGCGCAACCCGGTGATACACATTGAAGGTCAACAAGGGGATGCTCAAAATGCAGCATGGCTTCCTCCAAAGGTGGCAAATATCATATTCAGAGAAGGGGCTAGTGTAACAACCACCTCTAGGTAGTTCTTAGTCTCTATCAATGCCAAGCTAAGAGGATTGCACTAACATCTACTGGAAAGTTGGATAACCTATTTGCAACCTTTGCTTAGAGCATGCAAATATTCTATGATAAACAAATGTTTAAAGATCTGTAAATACATGGATGGCTGTAAATACACTTTTACTGTTCATATATATTTTTTTTCCATTATATGACAGTTGTTTTAAGCCCTCATATCATCATTATATCCATGACAAGAACTCATGGGTAATCTAACTTGAACACTTCTTTGTATATCCATCTAATTTGTGACAACCGAATAGTCTGGGGTTCTGGCCCTTGCTAATGAATTCTTTTAGCAAGGATTACTAAACATATGCAGGTTCTTTTTGGTCATAATACGTTAAATAAATTTGTTCGGTTAAACAGTAAAGTGGTGGTAATTGCAATATTTTTTTGGGTAGTTTTTTGGGAATTACCGAACAACTTGTGCAGAAGCATATTCAAGTGATCCTGTTCTACCTAAAATGACCAGTTGCTTAAGGTTGCACTTGGCATGGTTCTTGATCTTCATCTGAAGAACCAACTGAAAGTGAAAGCCGCCTATTTTTTTTATTTTTTTTATTTTTTTTTTGGTTTTTATTGTAGTGCAATTTCTTCACGTTCCACTAATTAAAGTGAAAAGGAAAAGAAAAAGTTACTAATATTCAATTCTCCTTCTGTTCTTTGCTCTTCGTAAGTTATATCTCAATTGCTGGAATGTATTTCACCAGATGAAAAAGATTGGTTATTTTTAGAAGCTTGCTTATATGATGAAATAACCTTGTTTATGAACTCTACTAGTCGTATATGGGGTTTTTGTATGCAGCCCGACTAGGAATAACTCCTCTTCCAAAAGTATGAAGGTCAGAAATTCCTAAATTTCAGTGTAATATCAAATATTAATTTTAATTCTTAAAAGGAATTCTACATGTTTTAGAAACTAGATAAGTATTATACATCACAATTTTTAATTAAAAAATGTAGTCAATTTAAAAAGCTGGCCAACTCTCCAATTAGGGAGTAATATTTTTTCTTCCTAATTAATAAAAAGATCATTTTGTTGTTGAATAGGAGTATTATGTTACTCTTTCAATGGCTTTTCATGAGAAGGTAACTCCTTAGAAAAACCCATATCCTGATCCAAAAAATTACAAGCTGAAACTATTTCTCCCTCCACTTCTCCATATGAATTTACCAAAATCAAACACAGAAGGCACTACAATAAGATGTTTTCTCTGAATTCTCGCTATCATCTCAAAGGAGAAACGAAACATAGTCTCAACATTGTTCCAGCAAGGCACAATTAAACAGTTGTATTTGAGACGTAATCCAACGTACAACAGAGCTAAAACAACAAACAAATTTTCTAAGCTCATCCGCAACTATAGCAAGCAAATGGTTAGAGGCATGTATAGAGAATTGTCATTAATTTCATAAAACTTTATTTGGGGCATAAAATGCCAGCTTCTTTCACCAGCTGCTCAGTCAACGCTGAAAGCCGGGCCATTTCCGTGTAGACTTCAGCAAGACACTCACCACTGCTAGCGACGTTTGCTGCAGTTCCTGGGCTGTCACCCAACAAAAGACTGTTATTGTAGTCAGCCTCGATGCTCAAACTAGCTTTATTCAAAAGCTCACGGCTCAGTTCAGCAAGTTTCTGGAGAGCACTAGTAGCAGCTTCAACTTCCAATTGAGCGGTCTCGAGTTGGAGCTTTTCAATTGCCAGATCCCCAGTACTCTTTTCACCTATTCTTTCTTGTGCCAAAGCATAAAGTTGCATCAGGTCATCTGCATCTCGAGTCATTTCCTTCATTTTATTTATTTCTTCCTCCCTATCATCTAATTTTTGACGAACCATTTTGAGCTCCTCCTCTTTGAGTTTGAGAGCCCTTTGTGCAGCAAGAGCTTCCATTTCTCTACCCCTCAGACTTTCTCTGGTTAACTCGAGTTCATTTTCCAGCTGGTTCTTTTGCCACCTAAAAGTATCAGTTGATTTCTCCACCAGCTGAGATGACCACGTTTCATCGGCATGACTGAGTGGGCTCAACACGTCATCCTTAACAGAGATAACCAGTTTGTTAGTCAGGTCTACTATACGTTCCACAACAGTCTCAGCTTCTGAATATTTCATTTTTGTATCATTTAACTCATCTTGCATTGTCTGCATGGATTCCTCTTTTTCTTTCAACATAGTTGTTGCCTGAATAAGTTGCACTTCTTGACTGCTCATGAGCACCCTCAGCTCAGCTATTTCCTGATTTAGTTCATCTAACATCTTTCTTGAATCCAGAAGTTCCTTATCTTTTTCTTCCAACATCAGCTGAAGAGAAGCGCACTCAGACTTCAAGTGCTGAATCTCTAATCTAGCATCTACTAGCTCTGACTCTTTAACCTGAAGAAGATCCTGTGTTTCTCCAAACTCTGCCCTCTTATGGTCAAGCTCCTCTTGGAGAGTAGATTTTTCCTTCAAAGCTGCTAGCAGAGAAGACTTCTCATTATTCAATTCATTCTGCAACTCCTCAATGAGCTCCTTTTCCATGGATAAATCCCTTTCAAGTTCTCTGTTTCGAGCCTCAGCTACCGTAAGTTTCACTTTCTCACTCTCTACCTCAATTTGAGCTTCTTTCAAACTTGTCATGTAAGCCATTACACTTCTTCTTTGCTCTTCAAGCTCTCTGAGACGCTCTTCTAATAGATTTTCCTGCTCCTCCATTTTCTCTCTAGAGGATGTCAAAGCTCTCTGAGATGAGGTTAACTCGGACCTTACATCGGCAAGTAGCTTCTTCACTCTTCTGAAATCCTCAAGGGTCTCATTTGCTTCTCCACCATATTTAGATGTTTCCTCTTCCAATTTCTTCATTTCTTTCTTTGCTACGAGCCAATCCATTGCCTGCTTCTCCAAGTTGGATTTGGCAACTTTAAGTTTCTCTTCTTCAGTTTTCTGCATCGTCAAGAAGTCTTCTAGCTCTTTCTCTTTCTCTTGAATTTTTCTTCGGAGATTTTGTAGTTCAACCTCCTGTCTTTGAACTACTTCATTTGCTGCATCAAGTAGCTCAGCCTTAGTTCTGAGTTCTGATTCAGTGTTAGCAGCTTCATCGCTTTTATTCTTCAACTCATCCTTCATTTTATTTATTTCATCTGCTTTTGAATCTAGGGCTGTTTGTGCAGCAGATATCTCCTGATCTCTCTCCTTGAGACGAAACTTTAGATCCTCAATTTCAGCAGCTTGAGATGCTAAGGTAAGATTAGCCTGCATTAGCTCATCTTCCAGTTTTTCCTGCCTAGAACTAGCAGCTGCAATCTCTTCCTCGCGTTGCTCCAATTCCAATTTTGCATGGTTTACTTCATTGTATTCCATCAAGACTTTTCTCTCCGTATCTTGAAGATCTTCTTCCTTCCTCTTCAAGGCTGCAAGAGCATCCAGCAAATCAGACTCCAGTTCGCCAAGATCCAGTCCCAGCTCAGCGACCTGAGGAAGATAAGGATTTCTGCCTATCTGTTCTTCTAGTTTCTGGGTCTGGGCAAACAACCTCCCAAGAAGAACCCTTGCAGGCTCAGTTGCTCCATTACCTTTGATATTTGATTTCCTGTTATCCAAGACTGACCTGACAATTCTGGAGGAAGGGGGTCCACGATGAGCTGTCATAAGCACTAATCTCTTCTTCTTCCATTTGGGCCTCGCAAAGCAGAACTGTACACAAACACAAGTCAGTAATTACACCATAATATCATCGCCCGTAGAGCTTCCGACTTTAAAAAAAGACAAACCCCTCATCTATTCCTTCATGCCCAGCACAATTCATATAGTACATACTGACCAGTGATAAGCAAGAGATGATGTATAAGACCAAGGCATGACAGGATAAGAGTTCCTACGTAGCAATTCAATTTTGTAGTATCATACAGGTAAAATAACTGAATTATTTTTACTCCTTGGCACAGTGAATCACTTCAGTATATTGCACTATGACTGCTCAACTTCTATGATATGCAAGCAAGAGGCTCACATTTCTCTTAATTTTCTTTTCTTTTTTAGCTTCTCTTTTTTCATTTGTAAGATGAGGTGAATTCATCAAGAAGGAAAGGAGTTGATTTATTTCATTTTTCACCCCCCATCCATCCCCACAACTCTGGGTAAAGAATTAAGAGTGAGACATCTCGTATACTCTCCCTATGATTTCTCGCATCCTTTTTTTTCTTTTTTGATAAGGTAAGGTCTGGTTTCTCGCATCCCATGATCATAACAATCTGTCACTGCCTTGTTCAAACTGTATTTTAATTTTCATTCGTACAACAATTGGCCATGGATAGTACATAATGGATATAGAGGATTCATATGGTTGGCACACAACTAGTCTGGATTGGGGTACGGTTGATTGATTGAATCACCGATTTCATCCACATACGCACTGAAATAAATAAATAGGGAACATTGATTCCCCAGCAATCTTCAATAGACGAAGCAAGATCCATTTAAATATATGCATTTTTATACTGTCCCATTCCGAACAAGTGAACCTTGTTTCAACCTCCAAGCAAATTCTAAAGATGTACTTAATAACCAAATGGAATCCTATGCACACATTATCATATCTGCTGCAGTCCTAAAAATGCCCGATAATTAGGATCTGTCCTTGGAGTTTACATCACTCAGAACCATCTTAAGAACCAAAAATATTTGTGCCAAAATGATAGTTGCCAAGAAGAACAAAGTCCTTGGACATATAATGGATCTTCAAGTACTATTTTTCATCTACATGACCAAATCCTCCTGCTATGCGGTTTTTCTCTCTAGACTCAAATAATAGCACAATAAATTTCACTCTTCTCAACTCAACCATTAATTGTTCCAATCCTTATTGTCATTTACAAACTTTCACAACAACTTCAATCTCAGTTACTTTTAGTAACATGAAATGTCTATTTAACAAAAAAAATTAATCAAAACTATCTATATCTTATCATGATTGTCTCTATTGGTGCATTATTCATCGTAAGACGTAATTATTTCAATAATTGATAAATAAAGGAGTAATACACAACAAAGAGAGCTCTAGAATATTGCTAGCTGCAGAACTCATAAAATCCTTTCTGTTTTTTTTTTCTTTTATCCTTTTTCTAATTATTACCTAAAACCGTCAGCAAAATTCGGCAAATACCTTTACAAAAATAGGTATTCATGTTCACATCTTTATTTTTTCCAACATTAACAATTTCAGTTGAAAAAGCTAAAAGAGTAAAATCGTTAAGCAGCATAAGCAATACAAAAAGTCAAGTGCAAAAGTAAGGAGAAAAAAAGGATAGATTTTCACCTCCGTTTGCTGGTGAATAGATGAAAACGATAAAGAGGCGCGCAACGCCATAATTCACCTCGAAAGCACATCTGCTTGCTGACAAAACTTCACTAATATATAAAAATTCATAAATGATAGGGATATGATGTGTTGTTGGTATATATGAAGCTCGAAGTCGAGGTAATGTAACAATGGCGGAGTTGCAGAAGAGGAAAAAAGAGAAGGCTCACATTAGCAGAATAAGTCGTTCAATGGTAAGTTGCGCCGTGTAATAAGGATCATATTGTTATTCATGTGCTTGCTCTATACTTTATTAGAAGAAAGAAAAAGAAAAAAAAAAAAAAAGAAGAGGATTTTACGTGTGAAGTGTGTGAACTAGTGGTGCTAGAGATTCCATCTCATTTTCTTTTATAATTTTCCTAAAACTTTCTTTTTGGAGGTCGGCCAAGTCAGAAATAAGTACTAAATTATCTTAAATGCATAATAATTAATACTATTTGTTTTTACGTACTATATTATACACTACCTTCATTTCAATTTATTTAAACTTATTTGATTCAAAATTTAAGAAAAAATAGAAGACTTTTAAACTTGCAATATAAAGTGAGGCACATATATTTTATGTGGTTATAAATTATTTTCAAATATGAAAATAGATCATTTTTTGGCACAGACTAAAAAAAAGTTCATATAAATTAAAATTGAGAGAGTAATCATTTACAGTTAATAATTAATACTCCATGTATTATCATTTCAATCGATCACTTAATAGTGGTAAATAAGTACTCAAATTATTTATCTACATTTTTCTTTTATATGCCCCTTAAAAAATATGAATTAGAAGGGATTCTGAACTATTTTATATTTATTTATATCTTAAGATATAAATTCTCATCATTGGATATTTATTTTATTTATGTATTATCTTTATTTTCAAGAACAAGTACTATTAAGGATAAAATATGAAGAAAAAAATAATTTTATCTTGAACTTTTAAAATGATAAATAATTTGACATAATTATTTTTAGAAATTAATGACAGATAATTTGAGATGGATCGATGGAATATAATCGATCACTTAGTGGGGTCAATTGGGCGATCTAAAAGTGAATAGCCTGTTATATTAATTAATCTTTTTTTGTTAAAGAGTTATATTAAACAGTAGAAAATATGATTAAAGAAAGAGTAGATGATTCTGGAAATAGAAGATGATATGAAAAGATGGGTTCTGGATAATGCATTTGGAACTTCTAACTGTCCGATGGTTGGTTCTTAGTTCACAATTTGAAAACTACTATTTGTGGGATTTGAATTGGGAATTTTTGTAATGTAGCTAAAAATAATGAATTTGCTTATATTGGAAAGAAGCAAATAATGGGATGAAGTTGAATTGTGGTCGAGGCCGACTCATGTTTACTGACACGTGGAATTGCTTATTGCCACTTCTCATATATACTACGAAAAGACAAAGGTTAATGAAAAGTGTTAATAACATTTAGTGGTGACTCTCTTCTTGATGTTTATGTCACATGATTGCTGGGACCTTCTTTATCATGAGAGCTTAGGGGTCATTTGGTGGTTGGGATAAGCGATCATAATTTCGGTATAAAATACAGAATTATTTTGTCCCACATTAAGTTATATGTATTAATTAGTTTCAAAAACTGTTTTATACCGAAATGATCGGATCAGCTATTTCATATAGAAGGTGAAATAACCTTGAAATACCCTTGTTTATCCCATTCCACCAACCAAATGATCTCTCAGAGAAGAAGAAAGCAAACAATTGTCACTGATGTATGGGTGAAAATTTTCATTTTATGTGTTTGACCTGGTCAACAGCAATAAAGCCTTTGAAGTCTGAGGCGAGTCAACCTGACCCTAAAAGGTCAAGATCAGGTTAGAAAGATAAATCATAGTCGAGGTCGAGATGGCTTAGCAGAAGACAAGGACAAGACGAGCACCCGATTTCAGTACCAAGTGACGACCAATTTAGGATTTAGATTCCCTAAGGAATACTCCACCGAATAATCCTTTCTGTTATCTTATCTAGGGTTTTGTGGCCCATGTATCCTTATAAATAGGAAGAGATATAGTTCAAGAAGGGGATCGAACATTTTGTAAAGAATATCATTGACATTCTTTGTGCAAGATTCTCTCTTTACTGAATAGAAACAATGCCTAACTTTACCCTTCTTTTCTTTTACCATTCTCTCCCGATCCAAGAAGAATCGGAATATTCAACTGCTTATCACCATCCATCATTGTAAGAAAGCATATTGAAAAATCTCACCATTGTCGAATGAACTTTATCTCATTTATTACTTAAAAGTCATTTATTATCATTCATTATTGCCCTTTAGGTGTATAAGCTTTTATTGCTCATCATTGTTTCAAGATAATATTGCCTAATACTACACATTAAATATTCGCTCTAAAAGTGATAGATCTGCTACTGAATATTGATATTGACTATGATTAACCCTATTTTTTTTTTTATAAATCTAACTGCATTAAAGCCTAGATCTAATTTTTTTGGGTCATATAGTTTGGCACTGTCTGTGAGGATTTTATAGTCAAACCATCAGTTTTCATTCAGATCTACAATATTCAATAACTTTTTAACCTAACGTACTGTAAAGCTATCCTTTTTTCTTTACATACAAAGAATGCATGGCAAGTAACCAGGGAAGGATCGACCAAGTAAATGGAACAAGAGCAATGGACAACGTCCCACTCAACCTAACGAGTGCCATCGACGAATGGTTCGAAACTCAAGATGAAGGAGTAAACCCTACGGTATCCCCCAGGTTAGGGAAGTCATTGACACCTTTCTATAGCACAACCAAACCAAACGAAAAAGTGGCTTTCACATCCGCAAAAGAAGGAGCACCACCCACTATGAAAAAAGCTTCTAAAGGCTTGGCTAACCGACATTTTGGTCAATGTGATGAGCAAGCAAGCCCCGTGTACGAATGAGGAAACCTCAAGGATCCCTGTAGCACAGCGTAAAAATGGACGAGACGACTAACCGAACCCTCATACTTCAGGTAATATCCAAACAATAGCTTATAGTGCAAGTGATAGCGTCCTCACAGCCGTGTTAAACAGAATGGAAGAAATGGAGAACGAGAACATAGCTCTCAAGGAACAAATGAAGGAGCACCAAGAGCGGGTAGCAAGATACTAGGTGCCCCCAAATTGATACCAAAAAGAGATGCCGGCAGGTTCGTGGAATAGCCGTACAGGAAAGAAGCAACTCCTCATGTCATACCAAAAACTTTCAAAATACTCATGTACCTCAGAATCTATGATGGGCAACTGATCCTGAGGACCATGTGATCCATTACGTCACCACAATGAAAGGCAACTACCTCACAAAATAACATGCGTCTTCCATCTTATTAAAAAAGTTCGGTGAAACCCTCACATTAGGGGAATTTACATGGTATTCGCAGTTGCTGGCTTATTTCATAGAAACATTCAAAGAGATGGCGGGCAAGTTCGTAATGGCAGATGCTTGGGCCAAGAAAGTTGAAACAAGGGTAAATGATAGCTTCGCCATCAGACAATCCCCAGGGGAAGGACTGAGGGACTTCTTATCTCAATTCAACAAGGTGAGGATGACCTTACCAAATGTCTCCGAAGGGATGGCCGTAGCAGCCTTCCAGAATGCGATGAATAGAGAAGGTTCAAAGGCGACTAGAAAGCTACTAAGCCGATTGATAAAGTATCCACCAGCTACCTGGGATGAGATCTATAATGCCTATTGTGTCGAGATCGGGGAAGATGATGAAGACCTCAATAGGTCAACCCGGCGACTCATCTCAGTGCAATCCGAACCTTGGAGGGAACATAGGGACAACACAAGGAGAGACCCTCCAATGCCGCGATCAGGCATATATCAATATCAACCTTATATCAGGCCACTCGTCCCCAACTTCCGCAGCGAAAATGGGCCCCTCTAGGCTAGGGTTAGACGTCCACAAAAACGACCGAGTTATGGTCCCCTTACTATCTATCCGTAAGTTTTATGTGTTACCTACAGACGTGGTTTACGCACTCGAGAAGCTTGGATCAAAGGTGAAATGGCCACCAAAGATGAGGTCCGACCCAAGCACCAGGAAGTCCGACGCCTTCTGTGAGTTCCACAAAGATCGTGGACACAAAACAGAAGACTGCCACGCTTTAAGGTTAGAAGTGGCGAACCTGCTGCAACAAGGACACCTCAAAGAGTTTCTGAGCGACAAAGGCAGGAATACCTTAGCAAAAGGCCGAGAACGTCCAGACTCGCCAAAGCCTCCCTCTCCCGCTCGCACCATCAACATGATTATTGAGGGTAGTGACGACGCCTTCATCAAAAACATCAAATTCACTGCCACTCACAAATTCAAGAGATCAATCACCCCACGAACGGTATGATGGCCTTGAAGAGAGTATCATCTTCGATGAGTCAGATGACGACTGTTTGACTTTCCCTCACAATGATGCTTGTCATATTTTAAGAATTCTTGATACTGACATTAGGAGAATTATGGTAGACAATGGAAGCGGGGCGTGCATTATCTATCCTCGAGTCCTCGTACAGATGCAACTTGAGGATAAGATAGTGACACTCTGCATTACACTAATCAATTTTAATAATGCAGTTGAACAAACTTCGGGCGAGATCCCCTCGTCCTCAATGGTGGGGTGATGCTGGAGATGACGTTTCATATCATGGATCAGGATACGACATACAACACATCGTAGGTCATCCATAGATACACCCTATAAGGGCAGTCTCCTCCAGCATGAACCAAGTGACCAAGTTCCCAACCCCCTAAGGAATATTCAACATACAAGGGGAACAATGCACATCCCAAGAATATTATCAGATCGCCTTCGACATCACAACTACTCAACAAAAGAAAGAAAAAGAAAATAAAGCATAGCAATCAGTAGGGCCGGGGTCCCTATAGGTCGAAGATAAGGTGACCATTATGGATCCAGAAACGGGCGAAGATGCAGGATCAACCATAGAGGATCTCGATCCCATCCAGCTAGATCAAAGCGACCCCAACAAAAATGCCTACATCGGCTGCAAACTCAAAGACCTAGGAAAATTTAGTCAATTCTTAATAGCTAACACGGATTTGTTTGCCTTTAGCCATGCAGATATGCCAGGCATCCCCAAAGAGATATCCATACATATGTTAAATGTCG